TTCAGATACCAACAGTAGCGCTTCCATCAATCCTGCCCATATTCAGCTCAGCAGAGAAACACTGGGGGCGTTTAGCCCGGTCAGATGCATCAACTCATGCACTCAGCTACTTCCCTCCGAGTGCAGAGACTTCAGCACATCCTTTCCTAGGTGTTTTTCAAGGTCTCAGCCTTGTGGTATCCACTCATCATCATTCCTAAGGATTCTCACTCTTTCTCCTCGCAGGGATTCACTTTTCTCATTCCCAGAAAACTGACCCACTTTTCTCAGAGGTGACATATCTACATCAGTCTCTCATCTCCCGAAACTTTCTTGTTTTTCATTAATTCTTACTTATTTCCAAATGAATTTATACCAGGAGCCTTGAACAGTAAGTTCCTTCCAGGCTTTCGTGCTTCCTTACACAACCTGTACTTCACATAGCATAACACACCTATAAACAGCCTCCATTGTAATGTACTCTTATTTAACAGTGCCAATTCTGTAGGGGAGAAATCACAGAATGGTTGAGGTTGGAAGGGACCTCTGGAGATCACCCATTGAAGACCCCTGCTCCAGCAGGGACGCCCTGAGCACGGGGTACCCGGTCGCATCCAGGCSGGTTTGGGAGGTCTCCAGAGAAGGAGCCTCCACGGCCTTCCTGGGCAGCCTGTGCTAGGGCTCCAGCACCCTCAGAATGAAGAAGTTCTTCCTCACATGGAGATGGAACTGCCTGGGTTTCAAATCATATCCATTGCCKCTTGTCCTGTCACTGGCCACCACTGAGAACAATTTGGCCCCTTCCTCCCTACATTCTCTGCATATTGACCTACATATCGACCAGATCCCATCTCAACCTTCTCTTCTCCAGCCTAACCAGGCCCAGCTCACTTAGTCTTTCCTTATACGAGCRATGCTCCAGTCACTTCACTGTCTTTGTTGCTCTACGCTGCACCCCATCTAGAAGCTCCACATCCCTCTTGTACTGGGGAGTACATCTAAAAATGCTGTATCATTTGATGTCCTGGCCCCAAATATGAACTTYTACATGAAACAGCTTCTTTCAAGTGAAACAGTATCTTCACATACACAACGGCAATATTCTGAAGTCAAGCAGAAATTTCATTATCAGGCAATGCAGTCATGGGCAGTTTAGTGAGATTAACACATGGTGCAAGTCAAACACTCACAGAACCCCCATTCCAGAAGGAGACATACCAGACATTGCAGGAGGAGGCATATGGACCACTGGGTGGGCAGGGTGCCTGTAGTCCACAGCTCTGCAGGCCTTGTGGAGAGATTTTGCATTCTCTGTATTCAGTGAAAGGAGAAGTGCAGAGAGCAGGCACAGAATGATGACCAGACACGTACTCATCACATGTGATAAATTCAGCACTTCRTAACATGCTGCTGAGGGACTCTGCATTCCTATTGGGGGTATCGAGTGTTCAATTCTGCTCCTTGATCCCCTGTTATAAGGGTTCATTGTCACTTTCTACAGCCCTTTTGGAGGCTATTGCAATTGCCACCAGTCGCTTTGCTAGGTGCAATGTTCACATGCCAGGGAAAGGCTTTTGGCTCTGTGCCAGAGCATCCACTTCTGCTTTAAAACCGTCCAGCYCTTAATTGAGAGCAAGGGGGCAAAATTCGCATCAGAGCTGTTACAAGAAGGGAGRAAGTGATCTAGCCACACAAAAAGCAGCTTGTTTACTGGTGTGCACCACAGAGAAAAGGGTGAATGCAAAAATCTAACTGGCTAATTAGACATATGTTGTTCTTTTCGTGGGAGCAAATTTACCCCTTGGCAAATCACCCGCTACAGCTTCTCTTATTGTAAGACTCAGCTGGCAAGAGTGGACACCTAAATCTAACTCTGAATATTTAGTCACCGAAAAAAAMCCATTTTGGATAGGTTGGGATTATTCCTAATTAGAGCTGTACATAACAGATCACTGGGGACGTAAACACTGACAATCATCCCGGTTTTGGCTGGGATTGTTCTGCTTGATCAGCTCGCAGAATGATAGGCCTAGGCCCATCAAGAGATTTAGGACACTAAATTCTTTTAATCTTTGTTTTGGCTTTTAGTGCCAACTAAATATTTACTGCTTTGGAGGACCCCAGAGAATAGCAATGCAATCTAGCACTCCCTCTTGCCAGCCCATTTGCACAGCCTCAAAACACCCCCTAATTATCACATGGCTGCCAATCTGCTCAGACACACAACAGAGGTCAGTGTTTTAATGGCAGAGTACATTACCCATCAAAAGTAAAAATATATTATTAATAAATATAATTAAGGATTAGTTTTGAACTAATTTGAGCTGAATAGCCACACAAGACACATTAATGAAAGATTAAAGGTCAAAACAAATCAAAAAGCTACAGAAAAGCCATGCCATTTTCATAAGTATCTTGACAGAAATTCTCGGAGAATGCCTTAAGTTTTGCCACTCTCAACACTTTAAAACAGGTCTGACAAATTCCAACATTAACAGCACTAAATGTTCAAAAATGTACACATTTTGGGCAAACCTAAGAATRACATTTGTGTTGGAAGACAGGTACAAGCAAAACCAAATTCCAGCAGCTTTGATTCCGTCTAAAGAGCAAGCTCTTCCTGATGCCAAAAAGCACATGACTCCTAGTGAGATGACACATTACAGCATGAGAAAAATTGGGTTTTAACTACAGATGTGCAGCTGAATCAGCATGCACACTAGCTTGCTTTCTTTCCAAAGTCATTACTATAGATTAAACAACTGTTTATACATCCTCTAAACTCCTTACTCCGAATTATTTTAACAGCAATAAAGGAATACAGTTTAATAGATTAATTTTTTCTCCACGACTCKGTTTATTCATGGATGTCTGAAACGTTCATGCTAGGTCATGTGTGTACCTGGCAGTGCCATTTACACTTGGACTACTTGCACAATCTAAAATCTGCYGGTGCCATTTTTTGGACTTAGCTGAGAGAAGCTAAGTAAAGAGCAGAAAGCCAGCAGAGAGAGGAAACGGGCATCAGGAGATGTACTGATGTCCATCACGAGTAGTGGCACACACCAGTTCATTCTTGTGACTGAACTATAAGTGAAAGCCAATTTGCCCAGGTTTCATAATTTAGACCATGCAAAAAGCAGATATATTAAAGCTTTTTTTCACTGAGAGAAGAGAAGAGAAGAGAAGAGAAGAGAAGAGAAGAGAAGAGAAGAGAAGAGAAGAGAAGAGAAGAGAAGAGAAGAGAAGAGAAGAGAAGAGA